GAAGGTAGAAGAAGGAGAAATTCATATTGGAGGGACAGGACGGGACCCATAAGAGTGCGGACCAACATACAATTCGCATCAAAGGATATGCCCCATGGCATTTTTATTAGCGCAGTTGGCTCGGAACGCCCACCGACTATCTAATCACTCGCCGCAGGTCTATACGTGGCGAGTGATTAGATAGCAGAGAGAGCGTAGTGTTGAAGAGGGCACAGCGATGAGAGTCGCATCAATGCGCAAATCAACGGGCAAGGAAGGGGTCCCATTTCTCGGGTTTCGGGCCGTTTTCATGGTTTCTTCTTCATCCTGCTCCACTGACCACCTCTACCCTTATTTCCAATAAGCTACCTTTTCATCGTAAAATCTACCTTCAAGGCAACATCCCCAGAAAGTCGCAGCGGCCAATGATGAAGTTGTGGATGTCGAGTTGACTAAAAATGAAAAAAAGGCCGAGACCGTCGATGAAGCTCTAACAAAGTATCTCCTTATAATAAGGAAGTGGCAGGGCAGACGAGTTGTTCGAACCTGCCTGCTCCACGCCTCAGCTAACCCGCCAGTATTTGCACTAACGGCTACACCGCGCACTTTCGAGCCGCGACAACGGCACATCTGATACACTTAGCTTACGCTACCTACTGAGTGCATTCTACGATACGACTTCTGTCGGAAGTGTGCTTTAACTCTATCGCCTTGTAAAGCGCGCCAGTCCACTACTGGTCTTTCATTTACGTGTATATCCTAATAAATATAACCGCTGTTTTCAAGTTTTTTTTTGCCCGCATAGCAAGACTATTCAGGAAATAATGTTGATAAGGCTTCTGGCTTGCTATGGCCGTCTGAATGGAACTTGCTATTTGCGAAACTTGGCATATGGCAATAGACAGGAGTATATGGGAAGTGTACGGAGAATACTGACAAAATATACTTCCCAGTTTTTTGGTCTTTTTATATAACTGATCAAGAGTGTAAAAAAGAAAAAATGATAGGATGGTAGGATGTAGTGTTGATTATGTAGAACCTTACACTGGAGATAAGTAATCTGATGGCAGAATTCTTGAAAAAAATCTGATTGGTTAGTTTGTTCATTGTTCAGATCATGGATCTTCTTCAACGTGAGAAGGATAATTATGAAGCAATTGGACTATCAGAAAGCGCCATAAAATCGGTTCGATATACAATCTTCATCAAAGCAACAATAAATTTTCCCATTTCCTCATGTTTTACGTCATTATAGGCCATTGGAGCGGTGAACATGGATTCGTTGCGGAAGGATCTCCAATTTCTGGTTAATGAAGGCCATATATATAATACTACAGATGATGAACATTATGCCCTTATTGATTGAGTATTCTCCTTTTTCATCGGTGCCCTTATTGATTGAGTATATTCTCCTTTTTTCACTGGTCTCATTGTCCGTTAATTGTATGTTACATGTTAAGCGATTCTAATGAAGAGCATTTTCTGCAGACAATTACAATAATACAGGTCGTCGTTCTAAAGTTTTTCTCTGCAATCTCCTGGGACCATTTGCAAGTTCTGTTTCAAATTTCTCTCTAATCCATCTGCTGAACGATAAGAAAATTTGTAGCCTGTTTATCGTGGGTGAACAGGGATCCAAGTTACCATGTCGGCCAGTAATCAGTAAAAGTAACAGTTCATCCTGTTAGTGCTTTTGTTCCCTTGAGAAGCTTTTCTGCTCATCGCTTCCACTGTTCTTTTTACGCAGTACGTTGAATCAAATTTTGAGAAATAAGGGGCAGTAAGTTTGTTCAAACTCTGGCACTTACGCTGTGTTGATCTGTCCCAAGATTGATCTCTTGAAAATGGAAGAGCAGAAATTACGGAATTGGTTCCTGTCCGAATTCAATGTACAATAAATCTCGTATGTTTTCGATTGTGCCTTTTTTCGTGGATTGCCCGGATTCCTTCGGCCTTCCTTAAATGTCAATAGTTGGAGCTTATCAAGACCGAGAAAAAAATATGTAGATCCGTTTTTAATGCACTTGCAGCTATTGGTACTAATAATCCGAAATTGCCAACACTTCTGGCAGCGTACTCGAATATGCTTGATTCATAAAAGGGCGGCCCCCCGACGGCGTAAGTTGGGAGCCAACCGACTAACAAAGGTAACGATTCTGTTACGAAATATTTGGGTAGTCTCACAAATTCCAGGCGTTGCTCATTGGTGTCGTAACACCTTGGGTGCTGCGCAAGGTCAAGCGAGGCGACGAGGAAAATTTTGAAATACGACCTCCCACCCCCGCGGCTCAAGTGCATGAAACGACCCCCTTCGCAAGCCAAACTAGTGAAAATTTGTTTAATCTTTCCCGAAAACTATCAATCGAAGAAGTCCCCTATCCCACCCTCCTCCATAAAATCGTTCAATAAGGAAAATGAGTCAAGAAAAATTGTTAGCAATGAATACAATCAAAGAATGAAACAAAAGCGACAATCTAGTCAACTAAAATGGCATACTATGACGGCATCTCTTCTTGATTCATTTTCTTTGAACGGCTTGCCAACGTTTTAGTACTACGCAGAGTATTCTCAATATACAGGGGGGGGGCAAAAAAAGAGTCACTTTGCCCATGGCGCATATCATCAAACTTTTCGCAAAGGATGCCGCTGTTATTGGGAGTTATACGGCGAATTATTCCTTAGATGTCCCCCCATAAGCAGAATCAGGCCCACCTTCGCTGCTTCACCGTCTCCAGAATATGACGTCATCTGTCATCACCGTCGAGCTCAAGGAGGCCTACCATAATCGCTCCATTCTGAAGCTGCTACATAATTTCTTCGTATAACTTCGTATACGATATGCGCCGGGATGAAACCGCGCTCCATTCGAAGTCG